CATCGAGCTATAGATGGATTCAAAATGTCGCATTTGGCCATCTAAAGTATGAATATTGATTGTGAACTGATCGAGTGATACCCAAAATTCAAACAGTATCAGCTCAGTTTTCACCTCAGAACCTGCGCTTAACTTAGGTCATGCGCTAACCTGACGTTGTTCGATCATGAGGACATAGGTGACAGCTGGATTCAGACACATGCCATTTACGTCTACCTTAGTCTGACCAAGCATCGTTACAATGTTCGGGTAGATCAACAAAGGGACTTAAATATAAGATTTTGCGGACAAATATTTGAAAAAAGTGGTCGAGTTGAATATATGACTTACAAGTTCCTCCAGTTTTGTTCCCACATCCAGCAGGTCGCACAACATCGTCGACCCGATGGAAATACCTAGACAACTCGTCTGGTGTCTTATTTTCTTCATCAAATTCCTCCTTTCAAAAAATCGGTTGCCTACCTTCCTCTAACAACATGTGGAACTGATGAACGAGATGCTAGAGACGATGGTTGTTGTTTAGTGATTTCTGACAGATCTACCATAACTGAACCGGTGTGATTGCCACCATTAAAAATTGCCTAAATGGACTCGAAATAAATCTCGTTTGGTCAGAAATACTAGCATGCTGAGTACGCTAGATGTGAAGAGTTCAAATTTTGAGAAATAGTAGCTTACCTGACATTTTCCAGTCCGAGAATTTCCATACATGTCAGCAGCGTCAAAGCCGAGCTTGTAGTAATTGATCATAGTGTAGGAAAGGAGACCCTAAAAAGGAAAAGCACAGAATTTTCTGTCAAGAATTTTGTCCTTTGAGTTATGGCATGACGTTTCGAGTTTAGTGGGGTAGGTAAAGTGTGTGGTGAAACTTACAAAGAGCGTAAAAATTTACATGAATACAAAAAGATGTTTTGACTATATCTAGCATGGAGTACTTTCGTGTCATCACAGGGAAAAATTGCGTAGGGTAACTCATTGGTCTTACGGAAAGTATAGGATATGGTAAGCGGACAAAATCTCATCATGTTGGGTTAGAAGTTTAATAAATGACGGAAATGTATTCAGACCGTATGAAAGTTTTTTGTCACGATGCTAATTGCGTGGTGAGAAACTCATTCAAACGCTTAGATCGGTACACAGACTTTTCGGTCTACGGTAGGGTTACTGTATATGGCGCGGTTATCCTAACCGAT